ATATATAAATTTTGTTTAATTTATTTAATTTATTATTGCTCTGTTTGTTTAAAAACATGTTTGTAATCTGTTTGTAATTAGTGTATTTATGTATGTATGTATATATATATATATATATATATATATATATATATATATATATATATATATATATATATATATATATATATATACATGAATACACTAATTACAAACAGATTTAATTTATCATGACAGTACACCACTCTACTGGCAAGGATAACATTCTTGCTCTCAACAAAGCCAAGTCACATTATAACAAAGTAGCAAAGTACACCACTTGGCTAGTGAGGTCAACACTCTTGCTGTAAGCTAAGCCAAGTCACAGTAATTTGAAACCATGCAAACAACATAATAACCACTTACAAACTATAAACACATAACATTATTTACAAACATAGAAACAGTTTATATATAAAAGATATTTTACACACTTACAAAATATAAACTCATGTAACACATATAAACACATGATAAATAATACATAAATATAATTAATGATATAAATTAAGAATAATATATAAATTAGAAACTTAACAAATACAACCTTATTTTTGTAATATTTGTTTAACAACTTTAAAAAAACAAATGATCAAACGACCTGTTTTTTTATATTATAAAAGCAAACAGATTTCCTTTAAAATTAAAATAAGATATTAAATGATCTTGTTCTTTAACATGCAACATAGAGTTGACCGTGTAAAATGCAAGGGTTTTGGAGATAAACACTAACTTTATCAAGAGTTAAACATTTTGACCTTTATAAAGAACATCGTCTTCTAGAGTCATTATCGTCTTTTAATTTTTTATTAAATACAATTAATTAACTAAACATGATTTTTTTTTAAATTTACAGATTAATATACTTTAAATACAAAGGACTTACACTTACATTCTACAAAGGATATACTTTATTACAAAGGACTTGAATTGTGTTAATAAAATGCATAAATTAAATATATTACCTGACTTACTAATTTAAAAATAACATAATTTAATACTAATTTAAAAATAACATAAGTCAATCATTAAAAAGTTTTCGATTTTATTACTGATTAAGTTGATGAGGCAAAGTTTTCGATCTTATTACCGATTGAGCAGATGTTAACAGATTATAAAGGTTTAGAATACTTCATCACATGAATAAAAATATAAAGAGAAATAGCATACTAAATCTTACTTATATAAAAATTCTGTGTAAACGCGCACGAATGAGCAGTATTAAGTTAAGCAATAATATTTAGTGAATAGTATTCATCAATAAATTGTAAAATTCCTAAAATGATTTCATAAACATAACTATTTCTTTGTTTATGTATATACATTTCTGTTTGAATACCATAAATTAGTTCATTTTAAAAATTTGTTCCTAATGTAACCATTTAATTTAAGCATTCAACATAAACAAACAATTTTGGAAAAAGTTGTATTTGGTACCCCAATTCTGTAACTGGGCTATTGGCTATGGGCTATTCCGCATTCTTTTGAACAAACAATTTAAACTTTTTAACACTTAATTTCCTACTCTACTTAAACCCTTGTTTGTAATTGATAATCTTTAGTAGTCAAGGTTACAGTAAATTATTTAGTACAATTGTTCTTGCAGTATAAAAATAAGTTAAGTATTTTATTGACTAAATTTGTATATTATTATTTTTATAATTGCATTAAATTATTTATTTATGACATGCCAATTGATACCATGCTTTACTAGCACAATAAGGAAGTTTTTTCCAATTTTCCAAATAAAATAAAAATTTAAAATAACAGTTGTAAAATTACGTCTTTTAAATGTTCAAATATAAAGCAGATCCAACTATGTTTGTCCAAATATGCTTTGAATGTAGACACTGTAAGAGCAGGTCCAACTATGCTTACAAAGCTTTAAATCGTGTCTAAAAGAGAAAGGTTTTAAAATGTTGTCACTGTGGTAAATCGTAGTGCTTTGAGTCCTATCTAATTGTATGGCAGTTTTGATATTGAAAAAATTACTTTTGTACTTTTTCTTTGAATTAAATTTCTTTGAATGTATATTAAAATCTTGCTTAATATGGTTACCGAGATTGAATTGCAAATTCTAATATTATTAGACAAAGCATATTTTGACAGTTGTCAAGACAAAAATAAAAACTAATTAGAGGAATATTTAAAAATAAATAAGACAGGCTATACACCTACAACAATAATAACAATAAAAATAAATTTAAAAAAAATAAAAAAAAAATTAAAAAATAAAAAATAAAATGTTTTATAAACACCAATATGAACGAAGATATATATCACCAGACAAAAACTCTCTAAAAAATGTCTCTTGCTTAATATGGTTACCGAGATTGAATTGCAAATTCTAATATAATATCATATAATATAAAATATATAAAATGTGATCTAATATTAATGTTGTAATAAATGTGGTCTAGTATATGTTGTATATAGCAGTTTCTACAGATTTAAACCTCAGAGCTGAAATACTTTTTTAAAAACTCTAAGTATTTAATTGGCCTTCATAGCAGCAGAATCTACTTGCGTCTTAACTTTAAGCTTATCCATGATGAGTACACATAAACTGATGGTGAGCTGATTGCCTCAATAATTTTAAAATATAAAATATAAAATTAGATTTGCTATCATCAGCATATAATTTTAAATTGTGTGTCAAATTATCTGGCAGGCTATTAATATACAACACAAAAAGGAGCCTAAGGACTGATCCATGTGAGACACTCTTAACTACAATCTTTCCAATCTGTTGTATTTGGTCCTAATTTGACTCGTTGTCTTTTATTTAGTCATGTAAGAATTTGACTATGAACACCATATGCATAAAGTTTATGTAGTAGTTTCTGTGATACACTCTATCAAAGGCTTTTTTCAAAGTTGGTAAAAATGATGTCAACAGAGTATTTTTGGTGTTAAGCCTCTGTGGTGATGTCAAGAGTTTCTAATAAGTTAGTCACACATGGTTTTTTAAATACAAACCCATGTTGAGTATTCAAAATGACACAAGTAGCTTCACAGTGATGCGTGATAATTGCTTCCATTCATGTTAAGGATCCTTATTTCATGAAGTCATGTACATTCCATGAATCAATCTTAAGGAGACTGGTCTGTAGTTTAAAGATAAAAATCTAGAGCCTTTTTTAAAAATTGGAGTAACATTTGCTTTTTTCCATCTATCAGGCACAACACTAAGTGAGTGATAACCTCCTGGATAATTGCTTATTTACTCTGGACAATTAATTCTTCTATAGCAAGATACATTGATAGTTTTAGTTATACTTTAAAACGTGTTCACAATATTCCAGAGAGAAGAAATTCTGAAGATATTATCAATGAAAGAGCTAATTATGCAGAAAGATTCATGAACATTTTGTCTTCTATGAATGACAATAAATTTCATTATTGATGAAATAGGATTTAGTCTTTCAAATTTTTGAAGAGGATTTTCTTTAGTTGCAATGAGGACCACGCAAACAATGACCAATATACTGTCTAGAAATATTTCCATCTGTTGTGCAATGGATAAAAGTGGAATTTTAAATTATGAAGCACAAACAAAAGCATTTAATACAGAAAGTTATTTATATTTTATTGGTCTAGCACAATTAGCTGTTAATGGAGTTGTTGGAGCTGCCTTAATTTTAGATAATGTTTGTTTTCATAAAGTTGCTGTTGTTTGAGATAAAATAGTACGCGCTGGGCATTCTTAAATATTTTTACCTTTATATTCTCCCTTTAAATCCTATTGAAAATATATTTTCTGAATGAAAACAATTTATCAGTAAAATTATAAGATAATATTTAAATATGAGAGATATTATGTTTAAAAACAACACTTTTGAATTAATGTACAAAAGATACAATTTAAATTATGACAAACCCCTCCTCCTCCCCATTTATCGCAAAGCAGTGCCAGTGATGAGGGGTGGGGTGTGGTCAAAAATTTTTTTTTTTTTTTTTGCGATTAGCATTAATTCAAGCCCTGTAAATTCTGTGTAAAAGTCATCTATACACATTATCTATACATCTATATACCTTATAAACAGTTTGGCAGTTAATTTATGCAAAAAAGTTGTATAGAATTTAAATATAAAGGTTTGAAAAAAGAAAAAGATTAAGATAGAACTTTGCATTACTGTTCTTTGTTTTGTTGTTTGAACAATTTAGAGCTCAACAGGTTTTTAGCACTTTTATTATCAATTCTTAACATTTTCTTGGTTCTTTTATACCCACTTCTTTGCATGATTCAATTTTAAAAAATTTTTATAACCTCTTCTTCACTTGATACAATCTTTCTTAAGTCTTTTTTAACAACTTCTTCATGTGATACAATCTTTCTTAATGCTTTTATAACCACTTCTTCACATGATGCAACCTTTCTTAAAGCTTTTATAACCTCTTTTTCATGTAATACACTTTTATAATCACTTCTTTATGTGATACAATCTCTCTTAACCCCCGTTCATCTAACCTTACCACTCCTTTGCATAACTTAACAGAACAACAGCTTATTGCAAATCAATTTAAAAGTCCCAAAAAAAAATGAAACAATATGGAATTGTTTCCCATATTGTTTCATTTGAATAATGCATGACACGAATTATATCATTTTTTTAGCATGGTTTCATAATGATCTTTTTATGACATTTTCAATCAATAAAAGTTCTTTAAGGATTTCCTCTTATTCTTTGCAATATTGTCACACCATTTAACATGACTGCCAATGCAATTATTTTTGTTTGACGTCAGAGCAACTTTATCAATTAAGTATAAGTAGATATTCATTTTTTCTGTTTTTCACCGTTTACATTATTTAACAAGTTTATTATTGAACTGTTGAAGTGAAGAACTACACAGTTTATTTTTTTTATGAATGCGTGTTTCAGTTTATTATTCATTAGATTCTAAATTGTTTTTGTTTTTTTTTATAATATTTTTTAATTTTTCAGTTAAGTGCATCAGTACATATTTTTTCTATTAAGCAGATAACACTTCTATGAAAAAAGATAAGAAAACTCCTCATACAAAGATAAAAAAATCCTATGTTGCAACTGAATGTGTTGACTCTGATTTAAATCATTATGATGATATCACTGAAAATATATTGGTTAACAATAATGCTATTTTGGAAAAAAAATTGCAAAAAGATGAACAGATAAATGAATGGTAAAAATATTTTCATGTTGGTTTTTGGTGATTATGATGTTTGTATTTAATAACTTTATTATTATTTCTAAAATAATAATAATAATAAATTAAATGCAAAATAAAAAGTAACTTTATTGTTTTTATTAAATATTCAAGTATTGAAATTCTAATAAATAATATATAATAATATAAATACTTGTTATTTGATGAAAATTATTTTTATAGATTATTTTTGCATGTTTTCAAGGATTATCTTTCTCTTTATATGGTCACCCAATTTAATTTTCTAATTTCAAACTTAATTTTAAGCTGCAGATGATTTGGTTTGCTAATTTTAATCATTTAATCTACATCTACAGTGTTATTCAGTAATGTGTTGAATATTCATTATTTTTAATCACTTCTGCGCATCTTTTATTATTTAGTTTACCAGCTTGTGTATAGTTTTAATAGAAATGGAATACCAAGCATCCTCAATCATTTTCCGAAATTTATCTTTGTTTTTGGGATTTCATATTTAGTTTTTTTATTGACAATCTTCCATAGACTTTCAATATGATTTAAATCTGGTGATTGTGATAGCCATTTCATAATCTTAAAAGGCCAAGTTTCTTCACACTTTACACTATGTTCGGACTTTCCAGCAGGAAAGCCTGAACATAGTGTAAAGTGTACAACATAGTGGCATTTCTTTCTCAGTGTACAGCAACATTACATTCTTTAGAATATCCTGATACCCAATCTGATTCATAAATCCTTCTGCTCTGTGAATGGGATCAACCCAATACCATAAAAAACAACCCTGTACCATGATATTTCCTAATTTTTAGTGTGTCTGACATACCTTTTGCCATCAGATTCAGACATTATATTATGATTCAACATTCCACTAAATGTTTTGCCATTTTTTAAATGTCCATTTACGTTTTGCCATTTTTTAAATGTCCAGTTATGATCTTTACAGAAGATCAATTGGTTTTTGACGTTCATTTTGTTTAAGGCTTCTTTTTTTAAATTCAACCTCATAAAGCATGTGCAATTAGGTAATGACTTTCTACTTACTCTAAAATCATGGCTATCTTCCCAGTGGGTTCTATTTGATTTTTAATTTCTCTGGCAGTTTTAAAGGTAGTTTACACAAGAGATTTCATTGAAGGAAAATGATTTATCGACAAGTCAAAGTCAATGTTTTCAGCAAGCTCACATTCAATAGAAATTAATGCTAATCCAGAAAGAGGTTCGTTTGTCATTGTTGATCTAAACAAATTTTTTGTAATCTTTAGTTTACTGAAACCTCTTTCAGCATTAGCAGATGTAACAGGAAGAGTCAAGTAGATTTTGTAAAGTATAGACAAGTTAGGGAGACAAGGTGCTATTTGTTTCTCAATCAAGAACTGAAGTATATCTTTCAATTGTATGTCTGTTGTCAGCGATAGGAATATCGATGCATACACATCATTGAAAGTCTCATACTCTACGACTGCTTCTTCAGTGTTTACGTCATTACAATAAATTTTTTTAAGGAATTTATTTTTTCTTCAGATAATTTTGACGGAGCGAGACAATCAAAATGTGTAACTGTGTTACTAAAGTCGTGAAATAGTTTATTTATTTGGATTTTAATTGTATCTAAAACATTAAAGTAGGTTTCACAATTTAGGCGTGTAGTTAGATCATCAACTCCACATTTCTCCATATCTCTCCTGTCATGCGTTTTTTTTTGGCATGATGTTAGACTAACTGAATTTAAAGAAAGACGAGTTTTCTTTAAATTCATTTTCTACATCTTGTTCGGCACATTTTTCACTAATAAATGGTTTGACTGCTAAATGTAGAATTTCAAAAGTTTTATTGTTTCTCATATCTACAAACTTTTTCTTTGAAACTTCAATCAACTGTTTTGTAAATAAAACATCTATATCTTCTCGTTGCAAATAGTATAATAGTAATAACACAAAAAGATTAATTAACAACTTTGGTAAAAATAACATAAGAAAAACAAATGTTTTTTTTTATTAAAACTGATAGTCCAATAGCTTCTGCTCTTATATTTCCTGAATCTTCTTTAGATTCTCCTAGGTTTATATCTTCTAGAGTGGCTAGAATAGCAGAAAAAGATTTAACATCAGCATCAACTGCATGCTTCCTACTTGCTCATCTTGTATCAGAAAGTTGTTTCAGTGTCTACTGTTGATTCATATAAACGTTTCTGGTGCTCTTGGAGAATATGATGGTAAACTATTTTATATCTCGTGGTAAACTAGACCTAAGGTATACAATTTTTCAGCATACAATTTAAAACCCTGATGTATTCAATTTTTCAGCTGTGCCTAAAAACATCTGGATATCGCTGTTTACAGACTTTGCTTCGATGGTCTCCAAATTTAAAACATGAACCCAACAATGAACTAAAATGAAAAAAATAGATGGTATTTGGTGAAAGTGCTTTTATTCCAGTTTGAAGACCACTTTTAATTCCAAACATTACATAAGTACCATCATAAGCTTGTCCTCTGCAGAGTTTAGTATCAATGTTTCACTTTTCAAAGTTTAATATCAATGTTTCTATAGGAAATATTTTAAAACCTCCGTTTTAAAATAATTTCTTTCTTTCTCTTTCCATTTGTACCAATTTTATTCTTTTCATTGGTAATTTGAGGTTTTTTTTGTGTGAATGTTTTAGGGGGGGCTGTTTGACCGTTCTAGGCAGCGTGGAGGCAGCTTTCCTCATCCCCCCCCCCCTTACATGCCTTATACTAAATCCGCCACTGCATTAAACCACTTGGTTTAATGCTACACAATCAATTATATGCTTGACACTGTTTTGTTGCATTGGTGATCATATTTTTAAAATTAACTATAATTATATCAATTTATTATATTTGAAGCACTTGGTAAAAAATTACCAGAAAAAATTAAAATAATCCTTTGATGGAATCCTATATGAATTAGCATTAAATCGGAAAAAAACAATTTAGTAGCGTGATTTTTGATCAACGACTAACATTTAAAAATCAAGTAAATTCAGTTTTTTACAAATGCAATTCAAGCTTAGGTTTATTAACTTTATATGTACCAGTTGCCAAGACACATCTTAAAAACATGATATAATCCACACAAAATAACAGCAAAGGTTATATTGTATTTTATCATTGAAGTTCTTATTGTGACTAATTGAATTTTTTAAATTAGTTTCTCTGAAATAAAAGAAGAAATAAATAAGTCCCCAAAATGGTTTGGTCCATTCTCGATAAAAATTTATATTTTTAATAAAAAATAAATATATACATAATATACCACTAAAATAATCATTAATCAATTTACTTAGGGGTCATCCATAAAGTACGTACGCAGGTTTGGGGGGAGGAGGGTTTCCCAAAAGCGTACGAACGCATACAAGGGGGAGGGGGTGTTAAAGACAGTGAGTACGTATGCGGTTCGACTATCCTAAACATGATTTTATTTTTAAAAAAAAACATTGAATTTCATGTGTCTAACAAATTAGAATTGTTTTTTTTTTCTGACTTCAGTTACAATTTTTTTTTTTTAATTCTCTAAAAATAATGAGGGAAAAAAAAATCGAGTTAATTTTGAAAAAAAATAATGCATACGTACGCAGAGGGGGGTGGAAGTCTTCAAAAGCGTACAGGTTCGTACAAAGGGGGAGGAGGTCTTAAATCAATGATTTTATTGCGTACGTACTTTATGGATGCCCCCTTAATTCACTATAATAATCATTAATCAAAAATAATAAACATAACTAATAAACCACCTTATCCTTATTGACAAAACAATAAAATAACACTAAAGTAAATAAATTTTAGGAACTAATCAATTTTTCTTGCGAAAAATTTATTTTTGATAATATTTTAGTTTTGTTTTTAAAAATGATAATGATGATATGAAAATTTTTTAATGACAATTAAACAATTTTAATGATATTAAAAAATAATAATTATTAATTATCGTTGATATTTTTTAATTAGAAGTTGCGTTGAACACTTTTTATTTATATCATGTACTATACATTTATGTTTAATCCACAATAGAGGTTTCTTTCACTGTTATCATGTTACACTTTCCAATATTTTATATTCATCTTTTGATTTTATTAAAATCTATTTTAAATATAATATCTAAAGAGTTACAACTTTAAATTTAAGGTCACTACATAAGGATAAAGTTTATATAACTTGTATTACTGAAATTTTAGATTTATTACAGCTGATTTGGCTTCTTATTTTAAATTGATTATATAATCACTATGATTGTTGTTTGATTTTGTTTATCTTTTCTCACCTTTTTTCTCTCTTGTTTTTCTTTTTTCTCAGCTTTTAGAATAAAGTTTTACAGCTTTAAAAGTTTTTTATTATCTTGTTTTATTTTTTATTTTAAGAAAAGCCACCATAATAGCCATGATATCTTTAATTGCTGACTGTATTATGTCTTTGTTTGACCTCAAATTTATTGCTGGCTGCAACATTCTTTTTTCTGAATCAAACCTATTGCTGGCTGCATCATCATGTCTTTTTTATGTCTCTAGATACAATCAGTCTCTCTTTTTATGTATAAATACAGCACATGCAATAAAATAGTAAGTCTCAGCGGGAAGCGAGAGCTTTAGCTAACTTCCTTTCGTTAGCTCATGTAAGAACACATGGTTTTAAATATGGAATTAAATATAACATAAGTATTATGACATCATGGATTATAATAAGTATTATGGTATTATAAGTCAAACACGTATGTTTTATAAATTGCACAAAATGTAAAATAAATATGTTTTATATATGGGATACAAAACAATAGCTCATAATTTTCTATTACTGAAAAATATCTTGTTTCTAGTGTTAAAAAAGAAGAAAACAATGATGGTAAAAATTTCGAATTGCAGAATAAAGAATTAATAAAAGAAAAAACATCAATAACCATTCAAAAAACGTAAGGCTTTTTCTTTATTTTTTTGTTACTTTTAAATATTTTGACTACATTTATTGAAAAATATGAAGTGCATGATACATTAATACACTAAATGAACTTTTATATTTTTCAATTTTTTTTATTTCAGATATTATTATGAAAAGAGCAACTATGATTATCATGCTGTGTTAGTACCCAATGATGCTTTTATGCCAAAAATTGCTGACAAGTATGTCTTTTAAAAGGTTTTTTGATGTTGTTGTTGTTGTATTTTTAGTTGCTGACATACTTGTCAGCAAAAATTGCTGACAAGTATGTCTTTTAAAAGTTTTTGTTGTTGTGGCTTTAAAAGTGGTTTTTGAAACTATGACTTTTTACAGCAAAATATTGCTTCATTAAAAATGGTAGCATTAAATAGAGCACATTTTTTTCTATATTTTGGTATATTTTGTTATATATTTGGCATTGAAAATTAGCGACAGTGAAGAAAGTTGTAAGGATGACAAGAGTTGTACCAGCAAAGAATTTTTTAGTTCCATCAATGACAGTTTGTTTGATAAAGGCAAAATAACTTTAATTTAAAAATAGTATACAATATTATTTAATACAAATGTATCACCTAGTATGGTAATTTGGAGTTTTTTATTTTAATTTTTATAATAGCTTTCAGTTTTGATGGCGATGTTGATGTAGATGATGTTGGTGGTAATATTTTAGATGATTGGGTATTTGTTCTAGGAGATGATCATGGTCCTTATGTTGTTCACTTTACTGGTGAATCAGGATCCAAGCACTCAATTTCACCTGAGTCTAAGCCTATTAAATATCTTGACTTGTTTTTTACTCCTGAAATTAAGATTTTTTTTCGGTTCAGTTTTTTTTTTTTTATCAGTTCGGTTTCTGTTAAAAACGAAACATAATTTTAGAGGTCATTTATTTAATAAATTTGAATTACAGATTTTTAAAAATACCAAAGAAAACTAGTAATTAATTTTTATTTTTTAATTTTATTTTATATAAACAACTTTTTCAACATTTTTAACTGCCAACGTATTTCTTTTGGCCGTGACAACGTTACCAGCAGTAGAAAAAACAATCACTAAAGTTGCTGTGATACAAAGATATTTTCGTGCATAGTGTAATAAAATTGGGTACTTCAACTTCGTAATTTTCCACCACTCTAAAATGTTTGTTGTTTCTTCAGCTGTTTTGGCTGCTAAATAATGATCAATTTCTAAACCCAATTTAGTCATTGTTGAAGCACTGCGTGCTGAAATATCTTATTTCAGTCTATTTCTAAGCAGTTCGTGGTAATTAACTTTAACATTTTCATCACTTTCACTAATCGAATATAAATAGTCTGTTTTGCTGCTACTCATTGAAGCTTTTTATGTTTTTTCTCTTTTTTCTGAGTCAATGTTGCTTCTTTTATTTCATCACATTTTTATATTCAATCAAATACAGGTCTTTGTAACGTGGGTCTAAAAAATTTGCAAAATAATTAATCCGCTGCTCAGCACCATTAAGATGATATCTTTCCTGCAGTTCATAAATCAGCATTTTTATAAATAATCTTGTTGGCTTGTGTTTGCGATGTTGATTGGAAAGAAGCTCTTGGTGCAATGAATATAATTCAGGTACCACATTTTGGTTTGTTGGTCTTTTATCAGCTGATAAAATTAATGAAATATTGTAATTTTTTTTCAAAAATGGAATGCTGTATTTTAATGTCTTTTATTGATCATCTGAGGGACATCAAGGACTTTATACACATGTAATCAGAATTCCATTGTGTTGTACATGGAACAATCAATTTCCTGGCCTTAATTCCAAGTTCTTCCAAGCATTTTGAAGCTTGGTTGCAGAGAGGACACTTCTATGTGTATGTGATGCGAAATCTGTACAATTTTATTGCTTTAGAAAGTTGAATTTTTGATTTCTTTAGGAATAACTAGCTGGATTGTGTGATATAGCAGCGCAATTCTGAATTAATTTCATCACTTTCTTTAGCAGATAAAACAATGTTGTTGCCATTGTCATTGAAGCAGGCTCGATGGACTTCTTCATTTAAGTTTAAATTAGCATTAAAAGCGTACAGGTTTATTGCAAAACTTCTTAAATTAAAGTCTGAACTTATGTAGTGAATTGTAAGATTCATGTAGGAATCATTGTTCCTACTTTTCCAGAGATCTGTTGTAAAACTAACTTTAATTTGCATCCCCCCCCCCCCTCTTTTACCTTTTCATACAACATAGGAAGTTTTTGACGTATAAATGTTGATGCAGATTTAAGAGTAAATTTGATATTTACTTTATCAATAAACTCTTGGGCTCATTGATTTTCTAAAGTTTCAAAAGGTAGACCAAGCTTGCAAATAAATTTTGTTAAATCTAAGTCAAACCTTAATTGCTTTGGATCATTTAGCTCATATTTTTAGTTTTTTATAATGCAACTTTTAATTGTAGTTGTTTTAGTCTCTTTTTTTTTTTTAAGATTTTGTTTATTACTCTCCAGTCCTTAATAATAAAAAAAGGGGGGGGGGGCGTTTATTAAATTTTGGAAAATTTTTCCACCCACTCCAAGCTTATTAAGACCTCCCTCCTCCTCCCCCCCCTCGTTTATTAATTTTTTACAAAAACTTTATACTTCAAAACTAAAAAAAGTTCATTGAAAATCGGCCTTAAATATTAAGAAAATAATTATTTTAGTCACTGATAAAAAAAAAAAAAAACTTTCAGTGTAAATAGGCTTTAAAAATTGCCAACCTAGTAAATCTCGATTTGTCAAAAATGAGCTTTTGGTTTATTTCTCACCAAAGTATAAAATTTATATCAGCATATTAAAATTATGATAAAACAGCTGTTAGAAAATGTGCATTTGAAGGCAAGCCACGCTAGAATTAAATAGTTTTATTTGTGTTTTGTAAAAAGTATTAGTTAGGATTTAAAAACTTAATTTTTTTTATAAAATACTTATATTGTAAAATCCACCCCCTCCCCCGTTTATTAAATCTGAACTAAAATTCCCACCCACCCTTTTATTCCCACCTCCCCTGTGCTGGTTAATGCAAATATAAACTATTTGTATATTTTTTGTATGCTCCTAAAAACATTAATATTTAAACAAAATATTTTGAGTATACCAATTTTATTATTTATACAATAAAAACAGTTTAGAAAACAAGGTTTTCAAAATAAAAATATTATAAGGTAAATATTATAAACAATATTAGAAATTTAAATAAAATAAAAAATTGCAGCTTTTTGGAAAAAGCCAACGTTTATATCCAAACTCTCTAAAAATCTTATCCATTATGGTCCGCAACATTTGTTCTAATTTCACTGCAAGCTCTTTGCGGACTATTTTATATTTATGTTTAAATTGTTCTCTTTTTTACTTTGCTTTTCTGTGGTTTGAAATTTTTTAAATTAGATAACAATTGTATATTATTTGATAGCTTTTGATAATATTTGATATTAAATAATTTTTAGGACATTTCAAAATTTTAGATCGTTTTTTAAAAGTTTTTCGATTACGGTTCGGTTTTTATTTCATTTTAAATAATTAGGTCGGTTCGGTTCAATTCGGTGTTTTTGTTTCGGTTTTCACCCAAAGAACGGTTCGGTTAATCGCACTCGTTGGTTTAATCGTCATTAAAAAATCATAAACTTTCTGAAGACTAACACCCCGAGTTCAACCACTTTCAAACAATGACATTTCTTTCGATAATTTAGAAGTAAGAGTTTCGCCTAATCTTGACAAAGAATTTCTGGTTGATGCTAAAAAACCTTTTTCAAGGGCTTCATTTAGTTGCTCACTAATAGTTTTCGGCATTTTATTAGCTGCGCTTTTCGGTATTTCATCATCTTCTTGACTTACTAAATATTCAACGTTGTCTAAGGAGTTTGTAGGGTAATTTAAATTTGTTACATTTAATCAACTTAAAAGCTTCAACATTTTTTTTATTTTTTAAATTTGAAGATGTTTCAAAAACTTCATCTATGGGCATTAACTTGTTTTCTCCGTAATGTAGATAGTACAGTAGACTACTTAATTCAGTCATTCGCTTTTTGATTTTGAAGGCTAATGCATTAAAAAGTTGATTACTTGTTGTAGTATTCCGTTCTTTTAATTTAGCTAGCATAAACTCTAACGCAATGTCTGCAGTTATAAGGATTGCATCGCGTCGACAAAGCGCTTCCACTGCTGCTTTTACTGGTATTAGCACGTTTACTAGTTCAGAAACAATTTCATACTCATCTGACATTTTTATAGAATCATTAATACTGATATCAACAAGCGTCTTTTTTATGCAATTTTTTAACTTATGAAACCTTTCAAGCATAGATAGTAAGCTGCTCCATCTTGTTTTACAATCTTTGATTAAATGAAGATTTTTTCAAAAGTCATTTTTTACGTAATTTTGAAGACAGTCATCATTTTTAGTTGGTGATCTTTTAAAAACCATCATGATTTTTCTAACTTTATTAATCACTGGACCAATCGCTTTGTTTGTAATTATTACGTCTCCAATTATTTGATTATCCACTATAAAGCATTTCTCATCACCATCTTCATCGCTATCTGATTCACAGCTTTCCGTGAGCAAAGCATAGCTGTTGATTAATCTGTAATAGTTTTCTTTTTTTTTTTTCATTACGCTGGCTCCATCTGTCATTATGCACACAATACTGTTTTCAAGATTTAAACCAAACGCAGAGAGCTTTTCTTTAAGCAAAATAACACACTTTTCAGCTGGCATTGTCTCTACAATCCTTACTAAACCTAAATTCCAAAAATTGTCTCTACCGTGTAAATTGATATTTAAATAACAGGTATTTCGAATCGACGTCCACTCGTCAAAAGAAATTGAAAACTTAGTCCCACTGTTAAAGTGATCCCAAAGTGCCGAGTTGTGTTTATTTTAAAGAGAATGTTAAAAAAAAATGTTTGGGCAGAATTTTTTTTAAATAAAACAAAATTATAAATATATACCAACAAAAGCAAACTTTGTTGTTTTACTCGAAGCTCGCCGTTTCCACAGTAACTATTCTCTGAAATATACGCCGCAATCTACAGACTTCAAGCGCGTTTAATTCCAAAGAGTTTAAGTAAATGACGTAATTGTAGAGTTTCGTTAAGAAATCTGAAAATTCTTTTTTTTTTTAAATCAAATTATAGAATTCTTTATAATTATTATTATAGATGACTAAAGAATATTTTTAGTTA